ACCATCTGTGCCTCGCAGGGGAAGGAGAAACGCCCGCACCAACCCCAACACCGCGGCCTCCCCCCATCCCCACATGCGCCTGGCGGGGGCATGGAAGAGCTGGCCTGACCCCGAGGGAGACAGCGGGGGGACGCCGGAGGGAGAGACCTGCCCATGTCCAAGAGCCTGGGCAGACGACCACATATCGCAGGCCAGCGGTTCTGTACATCAGTGTAAAGCGCACCAGGATTCGGGATGGACGGACGGGTTAGCCAGCCTTGTCACCAGCGGGCACGAGCGTGTTGGAGCCTGTTTGCCTTGAGCAAACGGCTAGTACAAGACAGGTGGGGGCAGACAGCATCGAAGCTGGTTTAACTAGCCCCAGTCAAATGCTAGCCCCTCTTTCCAGGGGGGGAATCTCCAGCTGATGCTGGTTTATGCGCTTGTCTGTTCTTTTTCCCCCTCTGGTGTAATGTCAAGGAGACCTGTGGAAATGCGTGGCCTGTTCAGGCCCTGAGTGTGGACTAGGTGCAGCCTGGAGATTGGAAGACCACTCACACTTGCCACCATCAGCACTTGACGGCTTCCAGCCCGAGACCCCTTTGTAACATTACGATGCGCAGACGCAAGTCACAAACACCTTTCCCTTCTTGCCACCTGCACGTGGGAGCCGCTCGCAGCTGGACGGCCCATCGCTCTCGAGGCACAGAGCGCAAGCTTGCCAGCCGGAGATACGAAGTCTCAGAGGGGAGGCAGACGTGCAGGGAAGCTTAGCCCAGGACGCCAGGCACAGACCTGCAAGGAGGCATGGGGGCCAGCCCTCACTCTGCACACACTCCCTGTTGACGCCGCCAGGAGCCTTTCCATCGACTTCCCTGGCGTGTGGGTCACCACCTTTAGCTTTATCCCACCTGCATGCACGATGGCTCATCAGGTTGAGCTTTGCAGCCGAGATGCTCTCAGCATCACGGTAACTGCAGAATCCCACGCAGATCAGCCGCTGTTTAAAAACTTCCTCCCCTGGAGATGTCGGACGTTTCAGCTGTTCCTGCCCCCGCACCTTCACCGATGGATCTGGGGCCTGCATCCTTACCCCAAGCTGAACCGAGGCTAGACATAAAAGGATCTGCCATGTACCTTGTATGACAGGCTAGTAAAACAAGCTTCTGCTCCGGCACCATGAGGGGAGAGTCTCTCCCGGCCCACTGCACGCACAGCTGCATTGCACCCTGCCTGGGATACTAAGAAGGGGAAGAACAAGACAAACCTCGGTCTAGTTTATCATGGAATAAATCGCGGAGCCTCAGCTACGGTTCTTGCCAGGAAGACATCCCCCCCTTAGTGCAGGGGGGCTGGACCCAATGATCTTGCGAGGTCCCTTCCAGCCCCTTAAAAACTATGAATCTATGAATTATTGGCAGCACTGTTGGGTCTGTGGGTCCCAACCAAACCTGTTGCACTAGCCTAGGCTTCTCAAACAGGAAGCCATGAAATCCTTTCAAGTGTGCCCATGAGCACTGTTAGGTGTGCAAACACCTACATGATTCGCAGAATAAGCCCAGCGATTTCAAACAGGACTCTATCATATCAAAACCATTCTGCCCTGCTCTGGTGTCCACAAATTCTTTGCAACAAAAGAATGGCTCTATTATTATTCCATAGTCAAGAAACAAGTAAAAGTGAAGAGCTGGCATTTTCCAAGGGGCATCTGGAGTCTAACAAGGTTGAGAGCCACTGCTGCAGACACTTCAGAGGGGCAGAGACGCTACCCAAAGAGCCCACAATCTGCCAAGACACAGCCAAGGGCGAAGGGAGACAGAGGAGTTGCCGTTGAGTTGCCCAAGGTCACAGAGTAGCACAGTGTAAGAGCAAGGCGGAGGTCTAACAATCCTCAGCCGGGCTCCCAGCCCCCAGAGCTATGAGCTAAGTCGAGAGCTGTGCAGGCAAGGACCATTTCCAAATATTTTTCCATGGTGGGCTTTTTTTTTGGTTTTGTTTTCTCCTCTGCAAAAGGCGGGAACCTGCTGGAGCCTCCCAGCGCTGCTCGGGCTATTAAGAGGCAAAGCTGAGCTCGTTAGTCTTTTTTTTTTTTTTTTGCAAAGCTTGTAACGTGAAAAATGAAGCTCAAGAAAAATTAGCCAAATTACCAGGCTAATCCTTCAGCAGCAATCGCTGCTCCATTACACATCCACAACGTGGCTGGAGCAAGGAGGCTGTGGGAAGGGAAACGGCTGGTCTCCCGCAGGGGCAGATAGTGGGGTCGGACTGAGGCAGCAGCTGATGGAGGCCCTCGTCTGGGCTGAGCTGAGGAGCTGCGACGCTTTGCTCAGGTATCTGACAGCTGTAACCAGCACTGGCAGAGCAAAAATCCATATGGGCAGGGGCGGAGGGAGGTGCTCAAGCAAAAAAGCACAGCACCTGGCTCCTACGCCTGCCTCGTCACGCCGAGTCAGCAAGTCCGGTATTCAGGACCTCAGTTTACATGTCTGTGAAATGGGGAGAGGCAACTAAATGGATTGGCTGAGACGAGAAAAACGTGGCAGGCACAGTAACAGGTCTGTGCCCATCCCTCCCAACAGCACGTGCGGGCCGGGGGCGGGAAACCCCTCTGGCGTTGATCCCTGGCGCAGCAAACTCGCAGCCTTGCTCCCAGGAAGATCCACGGGAACGGCAGGGAGGGCGCCAAGGGGGGCACGTCTCCCTGTCTGAGCTTTGTGCCGGCAGCAGCCAGGGAGAAGCTGTGCCTGGAGCTTGCTCCGACGCTGGCTCCCCTGTGCCTGGCGCACAGGCCAGATGGAAGCCGGCAGGCCTGGTGCTGCAGCAGAGCGGGTCGGCGCTGCCCCCGTGTGGCCAGCCACAGAACAGTAGGTTGCAAAGGACACGTCCTCCCATGCCCAAGGGTGAGGGTCCACGCTCTTTCCCCTCCGTCAGACACAGAAGTGGCTTGGAGGGATTCCTGAAAGACTGGGACGCATTTGAGGAGCCCACTCCAGCCACGAGTCCTTCTCTGCCCCAGGAGAGGGGCAGGTCATCGGGTCCAAGCACCTGATACAGGTAGTGACCCAAAGCAGGGGGCTTTCCCATGGCTGCCAAGCAGACGCCAGCCACAGGAGCCCTCAGGGAAGGAGGGCACAGCTCAGGGAAGCGACATTGGCAGTGGAAAGGTGCTGCTGGCATTGGGTGTAGTGCCAGGCCCTCGTACACTGCAGCTCCTGGCCTTGGCCAGGTTTTCGGTCGCTCTTCACTTCCCCGATGAACTGTCACAGGGGCCACAGAAGTTGGGCTGGAAGAGCTCTGCCTCCCCACACCTCCTGCGGACGGAGATCCTGGCACTTTGAGCTGTGAACCAGCATAATAAAGAGGCGAAGGATGAAATGGAGGCGTCACAGTGACTGCACACATTTATTTATTGAAGGGAAGGGAGGGGGAGCCCGAACAGCTGAGGGGGGCTGGTAATAGGATGGAGAGGCTTCCACACCCCAGCAGCTGCTTTCAATATTGAGTGGAGTTACTGGTGATTGAAGGTTATTACCATCCAATGGCCAACATGAAGCAAGCTTCATGGGCTCAGCTCAGCATGCAGCCCAAGCACAACAATGTAGCTGGCAGGGCGGGATGGGGCATGGAAACCCAAGTGGTCTCGTAACTCGGGGCAAGCCTCCCTGGGCCAAGGCTGCGGCAGAGGCAAAACAAGGCCAGTTTGTACTGGTAGGGACTGGGCTGATGGCTGTTCAGCGGCCAGCCTGAGGGGCACAGCTGCAGCACAACTCACATGAAAAAAAAAGAAGACATAAAAAGCTGAAGCCCAAGAAACCGTGTTCATCTAGACCCGGATTTGAATGGAAGCAGACAGCTTCCAGTTCAGTTCCAGTTGCTTTCAATCACCAGGTTTCTACAGTTCCCAGGACTGTGCACCCATCAGACACCCCAAAGACACGAGGATGCAAAGGATGCTTCTTAAGGGAGGACAGACACACAGCTGGCGGCATGTTAGGGACAGCAAAGAGACTAAGCGTCATCTGACTGGGTTAGCAAGAGCGCTCTCCCAAGATAACTGGAGGCAGACTTGTGCCAGTAAGTGTCCCTGCATGCAGACAAGTCCTGGTGATGGGCAGCTCTCCACTGGGGGAAGGAGATGCACGTGAAACGGGTATCAGGACAGGTCCAAAATGGGAAGGTCACTCCCACACATCCAATTATTTGCAACACTTTAACCCCTCATCCTGGAGAAGTCTCAAGGCCTATCCCACAGCTAAGCCACAAACCCAGCTGCATAGGGGAGGGAAGGATCACACAGAGCAGTTCAGCATACCAGTGCCAAACACAGCTACACTTGTTGAATGGCATCTATAGAGCCTTATCCAAACAGGGCTCAATATAGAAGCAGAAGGAGGGGGCTGCACAGTTCTGACTCTGGTATGCAAGCTGCAATCTGCACGTAACACATTCAGGTGGCAATGTGGGGGATTAAGGCACCATCTTCATACACAGAAGAAGTGGCTGATATGAGGTTCAAGGGGCGAGTAGATAATAAGAGCCCTTCTCTGTGTTAGAAAGCATTGGGTCACTTTACTGAGGCTGGGGAACTGCAAGAGGACTTTGGGAATGGATCTGGTTTACTCTTTGTCATTAACCCCTTTGGCAACACACACACACACACACACACACACACACACACTAGCCCTTATACTAAATTTAGTGCCACTTTTACCCAACCAGATGCTTCTGCTATACATAGTTAAGCGATTCATATCTGAACATTCAGATTCTCATGTTTATATTGTTAGAAAAAAAAGGCAAACTATTTCTTATTTACTTGCGATTTGTGGTGAGCTTCTTTTCATAGTTTCGAGGGTCGGAAGGGACCTGAACAGCTCATCAAGTCTGACCCCCTGCCCTAGGCAGGAACGAGTGCTAGGATCATAATACCCCAGCCAGATATCTATCCAACCTCCTCTTGAAGACCCCCAAGGTAGGGGTTTTGGACTGAGACTGGAATTTCACTTAAAAATACAGAAAACCACCATTTTAAAATTGCCTTTATTAAACTAAGACCAGATACATGGATAGTTTAATAAAAAAGGTGATTTGCATGTAAACCCATATATTAAAATGGAGGAAATGTGATCTATAGTTAGTAAGCTGGACTAATTATTCTGGTTTCCCAAAGATTTTGAAACTAGTAGATCTCAGCCTCTTGCACCTGACTTTTAGGTCACAATTTGGAAGGGAAGAGGGGTGGGGTGGGGATGAGCTTTCCAACTTCTTCCTCCTGCCAGTGTCTCTACTTTGAATAAAAGTCAGTCACTGAACTGAACCAAATAAAATAAACTGAAATGAAAATCGTTTCTTCACATCAGCAGGTGCAGATGAGGCAGGAGCTGTCACAAGCTGGTTATCACTTCAGTAAGCTCTGGTTCCAGGTGCTTGGTCAGTCCCACTAGTTCCACAGTTTGACCTTCTTCAAAACTGTATTGCTTAAATAAGATTTCATTTACATTATTTTAAATGGAGGAAGTTGAGACCCTTGCAAGCTGGCAAATTGGTCCATTAAGAGAAAAAAAATTGAAGAGAAATAAAAGCCAAGTTAAACTAAGAACATTGACCCAAGTCACTTCTTTTTATCCACCGTGATTGGCTTCATATTCCAGCAGCAGGCAGGATGACCAAAATTCAGACTGGGCTTTAAGTAGGAGGAACTTCCATGCACTCAATTTGACTACAAATAATGGGAAACTCTCGGCTTTAAAGCTCGTCCCATGCAGACGTTGTGGTCCTGATGTGCAAAAGGCAGGTCATAATATGCTCAGAAACTTTGCTTATGGGTCTGTGGAACAGCCTAGGCCAGGGGTTGGCAACCTTTTAGAAAAAGCAGGCCAAATTAACACAGCTCAATCTGAAGACAGGCTGCCACTGCTGATTGCCACTACTGTCCCCAGCTTCATGGGCCAGATTCAGCCCACAGCGATAGGCTGATGACTCCTAGCCTAGAAAAAAGGATCATGGGAAAGCCCTCTAAAAACGGTGCATCTTTATCAGCACTTTCACTTTTTCTCTAGCTTTAGAAATCCGTCGCCTAAGTAGTGACAAGTAAGAGCCATTTTAAAATGGCTTGCTCTCAGGAACGCCTCTCATAGCCTTAGCAGAAACTGCGTAGCTCTCACAATCTGTGCTTCTTTGGTGCTTTTTGTCCAGAAATCTGAGTGCACTCGGCATACATTAACTACTCCAGCTTCCCTGTCATCCCTATGGAGGGAAAAGGAGAGGCGTAGAAGATCTAAGCATCTATGCAAAGCTGCAGAAGGCCACAAAATGCATTTGTGTTGGAATTTGGCCAGGATGCCAGGGCTAACATGCTTCCTCTTATGCCCTTTGGTAAAGCTACTATCTAGTCAGGATGCTCAAGAGAGGAGCTTGACACGCAAGGAGTTAAATTTGAACTTGGGGTAGGCAGGAGCAGTCACTGCTGTCTTCATCAAAGCTGCCCCTAAGTTGCATCAGCTTAAGCAGTCCCACAGGGATGGGAAAGGGGGCAAGAGAGCAGCAACTAGTGTTTGATCCCAGGGACAGGCAAAGAGGTAACAGCCACCAGGCCTGAATCTGTGGTACCAAGAACCCAGGAAGAGTCATAGCCCATGTTATCTTAAGGCCTGTAGTATTTCTGCCTTCATAGAGGGAGGCGAGCGAAGACATACCCCGGGTGCCCCAATACTGGTCTCCCAGCATTCAAATCCACAGGTGATGAGGTCTCGCTTTGCTGCTTCCACCACTGGCGAGGGGGTGTCTGCCAAGAAGAGGTTATACCAGGCGGTTAAGTTCAGCTTGGTTAGGCTGGGACACAGAAATGGATTGCTGGGCATCTAGTCTGGATTGGACTGTCTGCTATGGAGAGGACACCGCTGCCCAAAACACTGCTGGCATTTGGCAGTCACGGCAGGTACAAGTCAGTCACCTACTCTCATGCTCACATCCCAGTCATTTTGCTGACAGGTTTCCCTAAGGTTTTGTTTGCATGCAGTTCTAAATGGACACCTAGGAACCCAGTAGATTTGCCAAATGCCTCAGTATCTTGCTGAGACAGATCAGTATTTTAAATGTGCAGAGACCTGTTATTACCATGCTCTTCTTTGCCTGTAAGTGAGAAAGGCTGAAATTACCTCGGGGAGTTAATAAGCAAACCTCTGTCATACTGGCCAGCTATGTATTATGCCATATTCATGGCCATGTTGGACTTTCCAGCTGTTACCGTGCACCCTGCCAGAGCCACAATGAGTTCAGATCAGTGTGCTCCAAAAGCAGAATCCTACGACAAAGTCCTAGTGGTACAGAGTCCAACCACTGCGTGCCTACTTCAATGATGGTTTCCGAATATACAAAGCTAGGCTGCCAAGGGATGGGCCTCAATAGAAATACATCTTTCCTAGCACATAAGGGCAAGTCTGGGTCTCCCTCCATTTACATTTTACAGACACCTCAGGCACTCAGAAAATATACCCTGCCAGGCTTGGCTCTGACAGTCGGCACCTCCGAAGAGCTGACATCTCAGCAGGACTGGGATACAAAGCCACCTGGATTCACGGGGTTATTTGTGAAATGCAAAAGAATGCTATAAGCAGTGGTTAGGGCTTACCCTTGGTATAGGTTGAACAGATTTAAAGGATGTGGCACAAGGTTATGCTTTTAACCAATCCTGCCTTTCAGAGCTTGCTGGAAGACTAAGGGTGAAATGAACCGTAGCAAGCAAAAGGATTCCTGACCTGGTCTCAGCAGAGTGATGCCGCAGCCGCCTCCACCAGCACCGGTCAGCTTGCTGTGCAGCCCGTGCGAGGCTGTCACCTGGCACAGCCGGTCTAATGAGGAATGGCCGACGCCAATCACGTTCAAGTGATGCTGGTTGATATCGAACAGCTCCTTGAAAGAGAAAGAGAAAGTCACACAGACATAAGGAACTCCACCAGGAGGCTGCGGGGGTCTCTCAAAGACAGGTCCTTTTTTAAAATTGATGAGATGGGATTCCCCGAAGCCAGCAACAAAGCTTGAAGGTTTGAACCGCTGAGTCCAAGACACCTGCACTTGGTCCGGGCTCTGGAACACCTAAGAGACGCGAGGACAAAAGGACCGTCTCACTAGCAGCGTATTGCTTCTCGGGGCAAGCAACACCAAGCCAGGTGGCCACGTCTGCAAGCACCCCAGGCAGCTCATGGCCACTTACGGATGTAACAATATCAACATGTTGCATAACCTCTGTCTGGTGCCGTGTGGAGGTCCCAGTGAGCTCTCCAAGGGGTCTCAACCGGTTCCATTTCTCCCCTGCTAGGCCCGTGTTGGGCAGGACACACTGAAAACCTCTCCCTAGCTGGGGAGAGGATCCTGCTGGGATCTCTCCTGCTCCTGGCAGTCACTATCCCCAGTCCTGCCATCCATCCAACATAACAAAGACCACAGGGCAAGTGACACGACATGTCAGAAGTAGCACAGACAAAGGAACAGTGACATGATGCACTCCCTTCTCCCCCCCCCGCAGGGCACAGGGCCGGGCAAACGATGGGACCTTCTCAGCATCTTGAGGCAGGGACTCTAGGCACCTGTAGGCCATGGCCAAATTGACATTTGGAGGTTCTTCCCAACCTGCCAAATCTCAGACAACCTATGGACACGCAAGTGCAGAACAGGCTTTTTCCAAGCAGAGATGATATTTTCTATAGCTGCCATGGGCTCAGCTATTGCAAAGAGCTTGAATCCCAAGGTCGTTCATTCCAAAACCAAAGTATTAGGTACTGAGCTCTGCTGTTCCTACACTGAGTTGTTTGTAGCAGAAAGGCCTCAGTGTGCCAGGAGCCCACCACCACGATGCAGGATCCCTCACCTTCAGAAGAGCAAAAAAAAAATCAACCCAGGCCAGGCCTGAATGAGATGGCTATTCAATGGCCATGAGTTAGCAAGAGTCTCCACCCAAACCCAGTATGCACACATCCATGCCACAAAGCCAAGGACCGAGCAGCCCACAGTGACTGAACAAGCCCCTTTCCCCCGGCAGTGGGCACACCTCAGGTTAGTGGGTATCCTCGTAGGATAGGCAAGGGGCCAGGGGGTCTCCAGGGCAAGAATATATTGCTCATGCTTGCAACTGCAGAGTTCGTCGCCAACAGGCCAGTGCTGGACACCTCCTCACAGAAATGCTAGGGAGAATAACAAGACCTTTTTGAAACATAAACCCAGGATGAAAGGAGTTAAATGAGAAAAGGGAGCAGCTGGCTGACAGGCTGCCATAGCCAAGGCCCAGACAATTACCTGCCGAGCACTGAAAAATGGGGTAATGAGACAAGAGTGGCTGAGAGAAGGGAATGGTCCAGCCGCAGCCCTGGAAGGCCGCACACCAGGATGTTAATTAAAGTGTACATGGACAGGCACCATTATAATTAGCAGGTCAGCTAAGGGGAGGGGGCAGAGATTGAGCAGCCTCCTCAAAGAAGAGCCAGAAGGACGTTCCCAACTCCGATGCCTTTAGCAAAATGAGTGCGGCCCACCTCTCCCACTCCCCCTCCCAGGGCTGCTTCTACCTAGCCGTAGTCCTGAGTGAGGAGCTCAGGACCGAAACAGACTGCCCTGAATTACAGCAGGACATCAAGGCCCCAAGCAAGACTGGGGCCAGCTATGCTAGATGCTGTCAAAGGCAGCGTAAGAAATCCCTTGCCCTGAGGCGGTCCTAGGCCAGGTCTGCCGTGAGGCGAGGGGCTGGCTCTGGTACTAGTGGCAGTGTAGGGGGCAGAGCGACCTATTTGAACCTGGCCCTTGGGATGGTTTTGCAGCCCAAGCAATGAGCTGCTGCACAGATGGCGTGGGTAGCTCTGCCTGATGCAATGGGCTGCAGTGTAGACATAGCACAGCTTGACAAGACCTAATGGGGGTGGAGGGCCGGCAGAACTACTGCCATCGTGGCACCGAAGGGGGAACAAGGGGCAGAGGCGAAGTGACTGGCCCAACATCACATAGCAAGTCGTGCACCAGAGCCAGGAAGCCAACTGAGGTCTCCTAAGAGCCTTCCTCGCAGCACTGTCACCCTTTTCAGACCCGAAAAGTGGCAGCCTCAGCAGGAGGCCTTCACAAGGTGGGACCACAGCACGGTGGCAGAATGCAGCCTCATGCGTCAAGATGAGAGCCAGCCACGGGAAGTGGGGACCGTGGCAGGCTGTTCCACTGGAAGTTCCTGCCTCACTTTTGAACAGAGCTGGTCCCTTAAGTCGGTGCTGTGAGGAGGCATCGCTGCACTGCCTCTCCCCTATGGGCAGCACCCATTCTTCACTGAAAATGTTCCACTTGACACGCTCTTACCGCACAGGGCGGGAAGGTGGCGCGTGAAGTGGCAGGTGCCAACCGCAGTCGGTTCCTTTTCCAGCCATGCACGGGTCTCATGCAAGCACAAGGCGGGAGTTGGATGACATGCAATTATTCCATCCCCCACTCCCCACATTTATCCTGGATTTTAGATAAAAGAAGGAAGATGAATTAACCTGCAGTGTTTAGCAAGAGTGCTACAAGTTCTGTGTGCCGGATTGGACAGATGTCCATCTAGGGGCCTGTGGATATGCCTAAGTGCAGGGTGCAGCGCTGTCTATGAGGATCCCAGACATCTGTCATATTCCCATCCAAAAGCTGCCAGAATCAGATGACAGCTTATGACACAGCAGACTAGTTCGACGGTTCAGACACAAGGCAGCCAGAACTGCGCATTTCAGCTACAGCAAGAACTGAAGAGATACATGTATGCTGTATATAATCAGCCGTGCTTCTGTGGGCTCTCCAGACATGAGACAAACAGAAACTGGCTGTCATAGCAGTGTTTGCTCTCCCAGAAATGCAAACAGGACTGCTCTGGCATCTATCACTTGGGGGATTTCAAAGCACCTCAGCCTTGTCACCCACACCTCCCGTTAGCTGACGGACAGAAGGGGACACCAAAGTGAAGTGAACTGCTGGGGTTACATGGAGCAGTGCAACTTCGGGAACAGAACCAGAATATAGGATCTCCTGCTCCAGCTAGCAGATAGCACAGAAGACTTGCCTGTCTTGACTAGGAGCACTAAGTCCTTCTGCTATCATGGTGCACAGCTGAAAACTGAATGCAGGCACAGCCTGGGAACAGAGCATCTCCATTCCCAGCAAAGGCAGCTTCTCTAAGAACCACACCGCCCCTAACGCACTGGGTTGTGTGTACCTGGGTCAAGACAGAGGGACCAGGATGCCTTGCCCTCCACCCATGCCTCTAGCCTGCTTCCCTTAGAGGAAGGTAGGGCTACTGCAATTCCCAGAGCTCTGGTCAAAATAAGTCCTCCAGAGCAATTGTTGATCATCTTAAGTGTTCACAAGTCCCATGAGTGAAATGCTGGTGTTCCTCCACGAAGGTGGTTTTATCCACTTGCACCCACTTGGACACATTTCAGCCTGGGAAATCAATTCCCAAAATATGTAGACTAAGGACGAGCATGTCCTATGGACAGTGAAGACACCACTGCAGAACCCTCCTTTCCTTTGGAAGAGTTTCCCTTATGCCAGCCTCCCTGGGCTTTAAACAGAGCCCAAATGAACCTAGAGCTTTGTATTCACATCACGCATCAAATGTCAGGCCAGTGCTGGGCACGTTTGTTAACCACTCTCCTGAGCCAGCAGACACGATGAGCACAAAATGGTGGGGGTTGGGTTATACACAGTCCATCAAAACCAGGGGATGCTGGATTCTGCGCTTCTTTTTTGGCTTTGTAAAGCTACCATTCACACTGCTGACAGCCAGCAATTTCCAGTCCGGACGCTGCTGGCATCTGAGTGCAAATGGTTCAACAGGAGATGAAATTTGGATCCAAAACTCACTCATCCCTTCAACTAAGAGAAATGAAGTGTATGGCACTGATATAACAAGCGAATGCATTTTATACACATGCCTGCTCCGATGAGGGAACCGACAGCCTCTCAGCTAGTTCAGAGGAAGGGAAAGTGTTAACGAAGGCAGAATATGTTGCGGTTCAGTTTGAAATGAACATTTCCTGCCATCGAAAGTCTCTCCCGATCTTAATGTTCTTTAAATGACATTTTGATGGGCGACTATAACAGGGTCTAAAAATACAGGCGGAAAAGACCCTTACCTCCAGGACTGGGTAATGCTCCAGTGATGGATTCACAGCCATTGTTTCCAGAACACATTCGCACTCGTGAGAAATGGCATCTATCGAGTCGAGCACGGGGTTCATTATAGCAGGAAACTGTGAGAAGTAGATGAGAGACATGAGGATGGGTCTGGGTTCTTGTGCATCCTCATTGTGCTGTTGGGGCTGGGAGATGCCTTGCCCTGTCCCAACCCACCTGAGGACATCCACTTTAACATTCAGCCAATTAGGCAAGCTGGTCACATCTGGGGGTGACAGAGGGAGCAGAGAGAGATGTGGGCTCAGCCACAAGACAGGGTACTTCAGAACTGTGGACTCTAGCAACACTGCAGCCAGACACCTGATACTCAAGCTTCTCAAAGCTCCAGCCTCAGGAGTCAGGTGATTTTCTAACAAATACTAATGTTCTCCCCGAGCTATGCTTCCAGGCTCTTAAGTGAAGAGGATGCCATAAGGAAGGGAACACTAAAGGGCTGTAAAACCAGAAGATAAATCCAAAGATGATATTTTTTAAGGTCTCCTGCTTTCCAAAATGCCCAGCATTAGCCAGATTACCATACAACAAAAGCTTGAAGGGTCAGGCACAGGCCTAATTTTTAGCTAAGAGGATGAAGCCCTAGGCCAGGGCTTTGATTTACGCTTGATTATCATGCAGAGTAATGAGAGAAGTCAATACACAAGTCTCCACTCCAGTGGGCCAGGACAACAGAAACACCCGCGAGTCCTGTAGGAGTGATTATAAGAAGCTGACTCTGCTGGGGTGAGAGAACTCTATAGAGTGACAGTCATATTAAAAGTGCTGCCTTAGCGAGATGCTCAGGACCTACCCCAGCCCTTGGGCTGAGAGCCTGTTCTTCCTTCCTGTTTCCTGGCCTTGCCACAGCCAGGGGAAACAGGGAAATAGCGCTAAGCAGCAGGTAACAAGGACCTTGAAGTTCCTCATGGATGCAGACCCCCTCTCTCCACTCTGCCATTCATTCAATGCCCAGTCCAGATGCCGTTGTGTTGGCTTAGTGAACAAGCTCTGTCCCTGGTCCCTACCAGGGGAAATCAAAAGAGACGCTGCACCTTGAGAAGCTTGTCCTTAACACCAGCCACCAGGACCTTGGTGCTTCGAGGCACTTTGGTGTTGGTCAGCAGGATTCGCAGAGTCGGCACCCTGAAAGCAAGAACAGAGGCTCTGAGGTTCATTCGTTTTCCAGTAACTGCACAGCTTCCTTGATTTGTTCCACATCCCCTGGCTCCCTTTTTCCTGACCCAGGATACTGTCAAGCCACCTTCATGCATGCATTTATATTTTGATATAGATAGGGCTTCTGTATCAGCTCTCCCACTGCTGCAAGTGCTGGCATGATTTTGCAGTCGCTTAGATGCATGTTCTCAAGCCTCCATATAATTTTTAAAAAAATGCTCCACCCTTATGACTTCAAACTAACTTGAAAACACAAGTCAAGACTGAAGCAATGCTGTGATGCTTCCTGTATTTGTGGATGGCTGCAACTACTATGAGAGGCCATTTATTTCATTAAGTCGTTCACTCTGAAGCCTAATAGAGTTGACATTGGCAGCCACATATTTCATGGAAGAACATTTTAGCAAAAGCTGGTTAATTTGCTTTCCCTCAGGTGCCCCACAAAATATCGGGGTTATGGCAGTGATTTAAATACAAAAAAAGTGAAGGCACTCAGTAGAAAATCCTCTATGTTTCATCTGAAGTAGGTGCTAAGCTTTCATTGATGGCAAAGAGCCTAGGTTGGGAGCATACAGGATGCTCTAACCCAGGCTGTGACAAAGCAGGGCAAAGTCAAGGAGCTGCAACAGGTTCTGTCACCTGTTCCCCTCTACTGCACCATGACCTTAGTCACAGCAGACCACCTTGTTTTCAGACCAGCCCCCTCCAGAACAAGATGATCATATACAGGTAGCGTGTGAAACCTGGGGCTGGTCTCCCTTTACAGGGCTCTGCAGCTCAGTTTTTGCACTGCTCTGAAATTCTATAAGCAGGAAGGTTTGTGGGGAGGGGGGTTATCGGCTTCTTTAAAAGAGAAAAAAAGAAAGTTGTTTGCTGTCAGGAGCAGACCAGATGCCACTGCCCACGGGGCCATGAAATTAATATCGATTCCCTGCGTTGGTTTTGTCTAACTTGGACAGAAACCCAACATCCCTGATGTCATTCTTTTCCTACCAGGACAAAATTGGCTAGAAGTGTTAAAGCTATCGCAGACCTCATCCCGCAGACTGGTCTGCTTCTTCTACTGCTCTGCTCAGCATTTTGTTACCCTTGCGCCTTGACACTACAGGGATGTGTTAAGTTTGCCATGTTTCATTTGTCGTATCCACCTTATTAACTCGCATTACCTCTTTAATGGTGTGATTTTGCCTGACTGGTACCGGAGAGCCCCACCTAAAGCAAAACGCACAGTTTTAGTACACAGTATACCTGGAGAGAATGTGCTATTTTCATACATATAGGAACTTTTCACTTTTACCACCTCACCCACTACGGGAGTAAGTAACCACAAGGAACAGAGGCATAAGAACAAGGCAGATTTTCACATGGTGTGAATAAAGTTGGTTGGTGTGTTTCCGTGTTGTTCTTAGCGGCGCTGGACTGTCAAAACTGAAAGGCATTTTAAGGCGTGGAAAGCTTAGTTAGACTAAAATCTTCACTGGTCTACAATAAAAATCAAATAACGAGTCTAAATCCACCCAAGGATTCTTTGCTTTCGACTCCAATTCAGAGAGAGGGCACTAGCTGAAAGATTTTCATTTTCCCCACTTTGCAATGAAATGAGAGAGCTGCTGCTGCTATCGGGTCTCGTTAGCAAGACTGTTTAAACAAAGTACTGCAGCGCACTGATAGTGCATTCTGAAGCATATCTTAATTAAGCCTCCACAGCTGCAATGCATTCATCTGGGTTGCAGCTGTTTTTCATGCCTGTGCAAGGCCTCCACATTTTTACATTTCAGACACCTGCAGCAAGGTTCTCCCCTCCTACTGGGATAAGTGAGGTAAGATTGTAAAGTACTTCAGGCATCTAATGCATTAGGCTTTCTGGTCTGTATTATTCACACTTGACAAATGGGGAAACTGAGGTATAGGATGGCAACACCCAATCCCCAATGACAAAGCTAGGATCAGGACGCGATTCTCCCTCTTCCCCCCTCTTTGCTCATGTGCATACTACTTTACCTGGCTCATAATGAACTGGTACTGTATAGCGGGTTTGCTCTGGAGAAAACATCACCCCTTTGTTCTCTGCCAACACCACGGCCCTTCTCTTCTAGAAGAGGCTGGTAAAGCCAAGGGAACTGGATCAAAACAGACCCGTTCCTTGGATACTGCAGGGAGGTTTGCTCATCTTTTTCTACTCAAGCCTTTGCCAAGAGAGTCAGACTTTATGCTAATTGATGAAGGTCAGCAAAGCTGCAGACTGGATTCTGGATGCCTTTTCAGTGTACCCAGATGCTTGATGGAGATGCTCATGCCTTGCTACATCATCTACCCTGAATCAGATAGCCCAGGGATTCAAGTAGTAGCCTGAAAAGCCCTTGGCTTTCACTGCAGCACTCACAAGCACCTCTATCTTGTGCAAAATTTCTGCTTCAGAATGTCCCCATTGAGTGGAGCCTCTATCTGCCATCAGGAGCTTTACAGGACTGACACGTACCCCTTCCTCCCTCCCCACTCCAAACCAGTGCAGGGAATATGGGCCAGAATTGACATCATGACCTTTCAGAAGCCAGGAGAAACAGCAATCAAAAACAACCTACCCCAAGTCCCAACAGCATTATCCACCCCAGAAGGATTGCCATGGATGATGCGCTCCCCTTGAAAGGCCCAGCAGTTAATTAAATCCAGCTCTTCCTCTGTCCACCTGAAAGGAAAGAAAACAGCTTAAAAACACAACAGGTGAAAAACAAAGAACAGACAAGAGGAGCCCTGAAGGCCAGGTGGTGCCAGAAGAGCAGGCTCAAGTGTGGTCCATGGAGTGGGAAGCCCCAGGTGTGATGAAGCCTCATGCTGTGCTAATTATTTAGCAGGAAGCTTTAGCAGGTGACCTCGTAAGAGTAGCACATGGTAGAAGAGGAGCACAGCCCTGAGAACAGAGGGGAAGGTGCTCGCCAGACAGAGCTGGGACTGCTCAGAGTACGGCTACTGCAGCAAAAGCTGGGAGTTGCTCCTGAAGGTTGTAGACAGAGCCATGGTGCCAGCTACTTGAACCCCCGCACAGGAAGGGGCTGGATAGCATGATAAGTGATGCTGCAGAGCCAGGTGGTATGCTCCTGCCTGATACTTTCCCATTAATGACAAGAGAGAAAATCCCCTTTAGAAATATAAAAGGTCAGGGGGAACCCAAAGGTTAAGAAAATCATCCTTTAAAAAAAAGCAAGCAGAATAAGGGATGCCCAGTAGGAGGGTCCAAGACCAGATACTTGGCAACATCTTTGCTGACAGCAGGACAATGAAAAACAACCCAAAGGACTAGTGCAAGGATGGCCAGGAAAGAACTGCTTCCAAAGAGCACCCAGTGACTGGGCATCGACAGGAACAAGTCAGGACCAGAGTAGCTTAAGCTTTAGATACAGGCTAGGCAGCCTGCCTCTGCCTTCAGAGAAACACTCCCTCCCCTTTCAAGTGCTTGCAATTCAGCATGGCGTATTTATAGATGCAGAATTCGTGAGGCGAGAAGGAATATTAAAAGTAGCATTTCACATGCACAATTCCTCCCTCCATTTGCCAGCTGCTCAAATCTCACACCCCTCACAACTGGGTCAAGAGACATCGTTAGAATGAAGTTCATATTTCCATTAAGCACCTTGATGTTTAGGATGTAGTAATGTCCCAGGCTGTGCTGGGCTCTGATAATTTGAGCATGGACTTGGAGCCGAGAAAGGGCATTTTCTAATAGACATCCAGGAAGCTAGTTGCATGGCTCAGCATAGAGCAATGACTCAGCAGCACAACACACGTCGCACCTGCTTGGAGATTCTTAAATCACGGTGTTATGAGAACTGGCTCTGTCCGACACACCGAGGACTAAGGGCAAGACAAACAACATAGGCAGACTGCCCAGTTACAAAGTCATTCTCCACTTTGCTTCAGGGTTGAGCCTCTACTACAAATCCCCCCCGGCCATTCTTGATCTGTTCTCTAGTAACTATTAACAAAGCAGATAGTTAGGGGAAACAGAGACTTGTGTGCAGGTCTACAATGCCCTTCCCCAGGACACTATTAGCCTGGATCAGAACAAACAGCCTATTGCCTTATGAGCCTCCCCATCTTTTTCTTCACCCCATGACACTTATATATATAAACGTTTAGTGGGTCCACACACACACTCTCCAGGCAGGCTGCAGCATGTGCTGGAAGCTCTGCAAACCTCTCCTTCCCAGAACACTCTAAGCAACTGTTCCAACAGCGTACCGCGCACTGACAGCGATATTAATATCAGATGTCTCCGTATCAATTGTAATCTGAGCAGATCAAAGCAGGGGGAACATGCATCTGACAGGTTTTTAGAGTACAAGGATCAGAATAGTAATTATATGATGGGGCAGAGGCACGAACATTGATTTAGTGCAGGCATCACGCACTCCTAAGTGCAACAATGAGTGTAGTCACTGAACCATGCAAATGAAAGGCAGAAATACCAAGCACCCTCCCCTTGCTCCCCCCAGCAGTTTCCACTCTCCTCTTCAGAGCTCATCCAAAAATCAGCTCTTTATCTGCCCTTTGACCTCATTTGTCGATATCTGGCTAGCAGGGCACTTGGGCTGCAGCACACACAAATGCCACTGGTCAAAGTAAAAGTGAACTTCATCGTAAATGACCTCTAGTTAAAGTTCTTGGGCTGAAAAGCTGAGACCCCTTCTTGCACAAGTCAGAACACTGCAAAAAGAGAAAAAGTGTGATGTTACGTGAAAGCCAACACCCCAAAAAGCGTCCTTTACTTCTCTGCATTCAAATTGCAACTGAAGATTACACTGTAGTAAAACTGCAGCTGAAAACCCACAGGAGAAGGTTGAAGAGATTTGTGCCACTTGCCTAGTTTGGGACCAGGGATTTTGTGTGTGTGAAACTTTCTGGGGACTCTGTCTCTGTGCAGGTTAGGAAGGGTTTAATATCAGAATACGTGTACAAGATGGCAAATTCCATTCTGAATCTGGGGTTTGGGTGCCAACTCTTGTTCTCTTAGCT